GTTTTGTTTTGTTTTAAATATCAAGGAAAGAAAGGCTGGTTCTATTGCACATGGCAGTGTAACCAATGTTCGCTGAAACCGTAGCCATGGAAGCAGCCTTCGTGTCTCTGTTTCTCCTTTCCCTCACCCATTGCACCACAGAAATGTGCTGAGCCCAACTAGCTCAGACCCAGGACAAGCAGCTCAGCCCAGGCCCTGCCCTGAAGAAGCTTACAATGTAGGCTTGAAGGAAGGTAAGAAAATGGGTGACGAGGAACTGAAACGAAACCCATAAGAGAGTGCCTACAGGGTACCACGGGACAGAAAAGACAACAGGAAGAAGCCAGCAAAGAGGAGGGCAGGGGGCGGGGGGAAGCGGGATTAGGCAGAAAGCTGTGCAGGGCTGAGAACAACAGATCTAGACGCTGGAACTGTCAGATAGGGCCTTTAAAAGGCTGCTCACCAAAAGGTCGGAGGTTTGAACCCTGCAGCCGCTCCACGGAAGAAAGATGTGGCCATCTACTTCCATAAAGATCTCAGCCAGCCTTGGAAGCTCTATGGGGCAGTTCCACTATGTCCTGCAGGGTCACTAGATGACAACAGGTTTTCAGTATGCTACAGGCCTGGTAGAAATGTTGGACATGCTTCAACAGTTAGAGAACTTCAGCCAAAAGACGTAAATGAAGTCTAAGAAGAAGAGAAAAAGAATAGGAAAGAAGAAATATTTGCAATGAAAATGGCTGACAATTTTTCAAAACCAATGAAAGATAATACACCACAGACCCAAGCAGCTCAGGAACCCCAAACAGGACAAATAATACACATACCCCCTCAACATACTACAGACAAACCGGTACAAGCCAGAGGCCAAGAGAAAATCTGTAAGACAGCCAGACAGGATGACACATTTCACGCAGAAGAACAGGATAAGAATTACAGCTGATTTCTCATGAGAAACTACACAAGCCAGGAGACAACATAATATCTCCACAACATCTTCCTAGAGTTAAAAATAAAACTTATACCCCACAATTCTGCACCTAGCAAAAACAGCTCTCAAAAAATGAAGGCAAAATAAAGACTTTTTCAGACAAACAAAAGCCAAGAGAATTCACCCACCGGCAGCAGTCCTGTACTAACAGGAACTGCTAAACAAAGTTCTTCAGGCAAAAAACAAACAAAACCAAATCCACTGCTGTGGAGCCGATTCTCACTCACAGCGCCCCTAGAGGACAGAGTGG